GCTTTCGAGAAGTAAAGGATTTCAACAAAGTCGGCACAATCGCACCGAATCGCCTGCCTTCACTCGTGTCAGGATGCTCAGCTGTGAGTCACCGTGCGCGCCAGCTACGAAGGACAGGACAGAGGAGTTGAGTAGTTTGGGAAGAGGCAGAGGTCTGACGCAGCGGAACAAAGGGCAGCTGCGCTCTTCTGGGTGGTGCTTCAAAGCTCCTGGCACAGATTTTTGGGCCTGCGAACCTGTCCGTGATAACATCACTTGGGAAAGCTCCAGTTCATAGATGCGTCATCAGCAAAAATGTTTAAAGAAACTATTTTCAACTACCTCAGACTCCAATTACACTTTTTACATCTAAACGTACCAAACTGATGGCCTGCTTCTGCCAGTGCCTGTGACATTAATACATGCAGTCAAATTGCTAGCTGCAGTAACGCTCAGTTTTCACGAAAACATGGTACTAAACACTCAACTTGCCTGCTCCGCCAGCAGAGGCTGTAAAAGGAAATGTACGCCTCGATGGGGATTCTGTTCTCTACTCTGCTTGCTCAGCTTCAGGAGCTTCCCAGGTTTTCTGTGTTAGCCAAGACCAACCGTTTAAAGCGACGACAGCTTTGTAACTATGACGTGTCGCCTATAAACGCTATTAAGCCACTTCCCTTCGGGATCCAGCTCTCCTTCGTCAGGAAGGTTTCATTGCCTGAACTGTCCCATGGTGAGCACTGGCAACATCGCACCAATGCCGGGCCAGGGGCCGGTGGGATTCACTGGCAGAAGCAGGGAGGACCGATACTTCCCCTTTCAGCTCAGGCTGAAACGTGTGGAACCGTCCGGGCGAGCAGTGACGAACGACTTACTTTGTGGGAGCTGTTTGCCCACCGCGCTCCCTTCCCAAGCGGATGGCTCGGCAGCGGCCACATCCCGAGCCGGCTCCTGGACCTGCTCCTCCGTCAGGAAGGTGACAGCTTCCATGAGGTCTCCATTAGCAGCCTGGCAGAACGACAGCGGAAAAACACCTGTAGCACCAGGATTACTCCATCTACCTCCGCATGACATTCAATGCAGCCGTGGCAGAGGGAGGCACCCTGCCACCAACCTCGCTTTCCCCGACCCCAGGAGAGAGCTGTCTGCTGGTGACAAGCAGGAGTAAAAAAGGAAAAGAGAGGCGGCTAGAATTTCGCTGTCGGAAAGCACTGTGGCTTTATTACTAGGAGAATATGGACTCCATTAACTAGCTTCATTTCCCTCACAAGAGATTCCAAGAGTCGCAGGAGGCCCGAGGCGCAACTTTGCCACCGGGAGAGACTCGCAGGAATCAAACTCTCTGGGGATTTCAAGACGTTTCTCTTGTACTCAGCTAGGGCTTTCTTCAGAGCATCGCTACAGGATAAACTCTTTTAAGTTTATTCTAACATCTTCTGGACATCACTTCTCGATGAAATATTTAAGAATTTCCTTAAACAAGCCTCTTTGTGTGCGTTCAGCACAGCCCACATCCTGCTGCTACATCTCCAGAGGACGGACGGTGTCCGTCCATCACTCCAGACTGATGCAGCTGCAGCCAGTTTCACACTACAATTTATAAATACCGAAACACGCAGCATGAGGAAGAACCTTCCCAGGTAAACGTTGCTGCTCCAAGTGCCTGAGATTCCTGTGTCCCTTCACGTTAGAGCAGAGATGGCTGTTCTGCTGAGGGACAAGACAACCATCAGCCACAAAGCTGACGATGTTATTGCAGCTGTCCAGAACTCCCCATGCAGTTTACATAGACAAAAACCTCCCAATTCGTGTTTACGGTAACGCAGGGATAACAGCCCTGTGGGAACCAAACTTCCAGGAGATGTTTGCAGTGTTTTAGCACAGCGCGCGCTGCTGCTGCAGCACAGACTCTAAGGTCTGCTGTTGGAAAAACAAACCACTCTCTGTAGCGCAGGGTTTTTCTTTCAGATGCGGATGAGTACACACGAACCCCAAAACCGCGCGTTCCCCGCTGACACCGACAAGTGTCAGCCTTGCGTACCTGTTTGCCTCACGGGTGCACCGGAATGAAGCACCAGCGAGGGCAGAAAAACGGTGGAGGATTTACCCTTCACCTCCAACACCGACCGCCTTGCTCCAGGCGGCACACACCGCGTGGCTTCCCCAGGCCACGCGTGGGTGATTGTAGCGAGGACTGGCTCGCGATCAGCCCGCAGACACGCCAGCGAACATCCCACCCACGCGTTCCGTGTCGAGAGAGCCTGAACCTGCCTGACTTGGGACAAACTCAGAGGTCTCCTTTCCCCAGAACAACAACAATGACAGGCACAAACCTTTAGAGCTGCATGAAGGAAAGCCGAATCTTGAATTCCTGTGATCTCTTTCAGCTGGTTTAAAAGCATCTGGCAATCCTGCAGGCAAGAAATAAAGAAAGCTCATGTGAAAAGGTGACCAGGACAGACACTGAGCTATTTCTGCAAGGCCTGCTGAGGGCTCACCGGAGTATTGCTTCTTTCTTTCCTTTTTACTGAGGGATTGACAGGAAAACCCAGTCACGCTTGACTGACGGCAATACCAAGATCAGCTTCAACATTGTAGTCAATTTTTTTTTCCCCCCCTAAACGTACAGACTAACATTCAGTGCGTCGTATCCCCAGGAGGACGTTAGCTGGCCGGAGGGGAAACACTGCCCACGCTGTCGGATGTCCCGCACCTGCGGTGGGAAGGGGCACCGCTTCCCCCAGACGGCAGCGGCATGTGCGGCGGGACATATAAGGAGGCCGCATGTTTGCCAGGCATCGGCGAGGGGCTATTTTAAGCCTGGCCGCACATGCCATTTGTGCGTGTCATTTCTCACTGACAATGAGGTGTCGGAATAAGGGCCCGGGGGGCTGCTGCCGCTTCTCCTTCCCGCAGCACACAGGCAACTCCAGGTTTGGCGAGATGCTCTTGCTCTAAGCCACCGTCAACAACCTATTCTTTCACTGCTTCAACCACTAAAAAAAACCAAAAACCAACCCAAAACAATTACAGAGATTTTCTTTCCCAGGCTTATCAAATCTTTGCAGCCTTGGTTTGCCGTGGGAGCAGTCACAGGGCTTACCGAGCCACAAATAGCGTCAGTCAACCGGCTGTCGGGAGAGGCGGCTCTCTATGGGGAACCCCTTCCAGCAGCCAGCCCCGATGCCGGGGGTCCCACCACCCCCTTTCGCGGCCACAGTTCAGCTGCTGTCGCCAGCAGCTTCGTCCGGCTGAAATCAGGCACTACCAGGTACGGCACTGTAGCGCTGGCATCGCACGTAGCATGTGAAGGACATTACGACAGGAAAACCGGCCGGGACTATATTGCCTATGCCCGATTTATAAAGGCCATTTAGGATCCTGCTGTCAGCACAGTCCCATGAACGCCAGCTTCTTAGGATCACACGTTTAATTCATCTTAACTGGCAACACTGCAGATGAATAACTTCAAGTTTCTGCTAACCCTCATCAGTGGGAAAAAATCTAAGATGCTTTCACACCACTGGGGCACAAGTTCCACCCAGTGAGCAGTAAGTCAACCCCGTGTTTGGGCCATCCAGCCACACTGCCGACGGACGCCGCTCCACCCACCAATACTGTAAAGACAGCTCGCATCCGTATCGGTGGTTAAACCAAACAAAAATCCTACGTTATTTTTTGACAAGAATTCCCCCAACCAGTTATTCGTCCCACCTAAAATACTACTTTTGCTCAACTTTTACAAGAAATTTCAGGCGCCACCCTCCCAACCCGTCCTGCAGGCTCTCTTACTCCCGAGAAAAGCCGAGGCGTGCTGGAAAGCCTCAGGCCCAGCCGCCGGCACGGCGAGGACCTGCACGATAAGGAGCCAAGGGGACGAGGCTCAGGACGGGCATGCTCTCACAAAGGCAAACCGCTTATATCATGTTGCTAATTTTGCCACCTTCGTGAGCGGCATGCTTACCGGCTAACCCCACCTAACGCCGCAGGGCGTATTTTTCCGTTGGAGAAAAAATAAAACAAAAACATGCTAATAAACCGCAAGGCAATAATGAAATCCGAGGCAGGACCGGGCATGATTTTCAGGGGTTTTTCTGCTTCACCAAAAGGCGGCCTCACAAAGGCTGCCATCACCGCAAAAGCTAATTACCCATCCACCGCTCTAAGTTACCGCTTCATATTCTAATGATTTCCAGCGCAATTTCATTCAGCCTTTGAGAAGAAGGGTTTGTGTTAACAGTGGAGAGCTTATCCTGTACAACAAGTTCCCAGAGGCTTGCGGCCGGCTGGCAGCCCACAAAAACCACCGGGAACCACACTGCCTGCAACAAATTTGTTAAGTTTTTTGGGCGTGCGCGTGGTTTTGTTGCTATAACTAGTCTGCCTGATTGCTTTGTGAGGTTACGTGCCGCAGTGCTTTAAACCAAGCTCCAGAGCTGGTAATTAACACCAGCATGCTGCCGCTATTAATACATAGTGCACTCGAAAAAACAAACCAAACCAAAGTCCTACCTGCCGGAAAAATAACAACCCAAACCCAAATGCTATTAGTATTAAATTACAGCAACAGGAGATGCGGACAAAACCGAGAGGAAGGAGGGCACTGGAGATAAAAATGACCCAGTCGGCCAGTGAGCGATGAAACTGAAAGGTTTTGTCATTTTCCTCACTCTAACGTGACTCAAGCGCGGTGCAGGAGTTCAAGGAGGGTCCAGAAATAACAGCGCGCGAGGAGGAGGAGGAGAAGGTGGTGGCGTGGAAGAGGGACGCAGAGCCACGTCCTTCAGCCTCCGCACCTCAGCTGCGCTTTTTGTTGCGGTGGGAAAATGGACACGAAGAGGGCTGAAACCCCACAGGCGGCAGCAGGAACAATACCTGCATTCCTGACCGAGGCTTTTAGAAACCAACATCCACCACGGGAAGCGGCGGTGGCCAGCGAACTGTCCCTCCATCAACGTGCACTGCTGCACACTGGGCACTGTCCTGACACCGACCCCGCGCACGTGGGAAACGGCTGCTGCACCAATGCAGTTTCTAAATGCACAATGAAAGGGTCAATAGCCTTAGCGCTGGCCTCTCAGATGTGTCTCTCTCGCGTCCCAAGAGCAGAGATGCCACAGAGAAGCGCAGACACCTGCGTAAACTTGGGACACGCCGGCCTGCGCAGCCCTGTGTGCAGAGCGGTGAGCCACGCGTCCTGTCAGTGCTGGGGTCCGGGTCCTTCTAGAGACAGCTTATGCAAAGCCCTGATGTTTAGGGGCAACAGTTATTCTTAAGGGGCATCAGAAGGTGCTGGTTTGGCGAGAGGGAAAGGAGAACACGAATTCTTTCAGGGGAAGTCCTTGTAAGAAACCGTGGAGGATCACAGAATGGTTTAGGTGGGAAGGGACCTTAAAGCCCACCCAGTCCCCCCCTGCCCCGGGCAGGGACACCTCCCCCCCAGCCCAGGTTGCCCCAAGCCCCGTCCAACCTGGCCTTGAACACCTCCAGGGATGGGGCAGCCACAGCTTCTCGGGGGACACCGCCCCA